CCCCCCCCCCCCCCCCCCCCACACACACACACACACAAAAGAAGGAGAAAACAAAGGCCCATTTGTCCACTTGACTTTCTATAGTATCAACCATGCATGCAGAACTTTTCATGTTATCTTTTAAGGCCAGTTTGGTTCAGAGGGTGTAATCTACATATCTTAATGTAACGCGGAGTATATCTAAAATGAAGGTGACTGAAATCTTATATGGAGACCTATCATGTTCTTCCTTTTTTATAACACTTTAAACATATATCAAGATGTAGACTTGACCCTCAAGCTCTTTCAAAAAACTTAATCCAAACTTTAGCTTGAGGGTTTGTTTGGGAAGGGGGGAAATGGTTTCTTCAAGATGCCTCATGTATTAAAAACTTGAAATTTGCTGATCGGAATAGTGGCGGTCTTTTAGTATGGGAGAGGTAATGAGCATGTGTAGCTTGCTATATAATTGTGGGGTTAATGCAGGTACAGGGGGAACCTGTTTTACTGTTCACTAAGCCTCTGGATCCCGAGTGTCTGGCAGCAGCTGGCATTACAACGCCTCCACCTCCATTAACTTCTTTGTCAACTCCAACCGCCTCCTCATCTACACCCTCGTCTAACTTTCGCGGGCGAATCGGCAGAGGTGGCAGGCTGGTGTTCGACAGGTGGAACCCACTTATGCACGCGCCAATCGAGTGTGGTGATACTTTATATGTAGCACCAAAGCCTAGACAAGTTTCCCATTTCTGAGTGGTACACAGTATGTTTGCAGCTATTGGTTAGAGTCTTAGAGATGAACCATTTTCAAGTTGGAAAATTCATTGTTTGTAAAATGCTGGCAGTATTGTCTGTAAAATGCCGGCGGTGTGAATCTTGTTGTCATCCGTGGTGTGAGTGTGGTGGCATCACCCTTTTAAGGTAGTGGGGCTTTTTTTTTTCTTTTTAAAGATAGCACACTCAATATTCAATAGTAAAGATATATTATCTGTCTTTATTTTTCTCTAGGTACCCCCACATACCTTATTTGTCTGGGTTGTTTTATTTTTAAGGGGGTGTTAACGTTTTTTTTTTGTTTTTGTTTCAGTTATTATGAAACAATTGTATTTATCATTATAATGTTTAGTTACCATTTTATAAACTCAAGCATTTTATTCCAGTTTTCAATTGGCAAGTGTTATACGAGTAATATTATTCCCTATTTCCCTTTCATCCTAAAAAGTGTTATTTGATCAAAGAGAAATTTATTACGGACTATTATTTTTTCTTACAAAAGTGGAGTATAGTATTGTACGCCATCCATTCTATTTGATTTTTGAGGGAATGGTTTGCAATGCTGAATTGATGTTAATTTCAAATCATTTAATGTAATATTGATGTAAAATTTAAAATATAAATTTATACTCTATATTTTGAAAAGTATATGGCAAAACAAGAAATGATATGAGTATTATTTTATCAAATGCAGACGAAAATATAAAAATGATGTCAATCTTCAGAAGATAAAAAAGAGACACCCAGGGTATTATTTATTGTCGTCATACACTACGAGGGGCAGGGCCTCTACACATTCACTGATCACTATACTATCTCATGGAAATATATGAAAGTACAACTCATTAATCATTATTACAGAGCATTATTATTATTATTACACAAACATGAGAGAGTTCTTCAAGCTGCTGCTTCAGTGCATGATGGCACTGCTTTGATGACATAAACAGGATCACCAACTCTGATTATCCTTCCTCCTCCTTCGCGAAGGGAGTCGGCACAAACCATGTTCTGTCCAAAAAACACCTGAAATTTGATGAGATTAAGGTTAGCAAAAAAAGGCAAAAAACAAAACAGGTTATGTTGTTGGAAGTAATGAATCAAGTCTCCCAATGTATTTACATTTCCCTTTTGTTTCCTGTTTGGAAGCAACACTTTGTCTGAACGGAACTGCGTCAGTGTCACAGTTGGCTCCTTCCCCATTTCTGCTGTTTCTTGATTGATTGTAGGTATCTGTAAACACCCACGCCACGCGTGCACACACAGACATTATCTAAGCATATTGTCCAATTATAAGGTCTCAAACACAACAAACGCTAGTATGAGATAATGTCTAAGCATTTTATTTAGAGCAATGCAAATAATACTCGTCACGCAAATAAAAAATATTTAAAGACAGATATTATAATGACATTTCAAGGGAAGCTTATTTAATGATTTTAGCTTTTTTTTTTGGAGAAATTAAATACAATTTAAGTATAGAAGAGTCAAACGACACTTGTATTATTAAGGCAGTGATGGTTCTTTAATTAAAATCTTGAGGATAAAGTCATAAATGGCAATACAACTATAAAAGAGCCGTGCTCTGGGCATGTAACAACTAAATATTGACTAGCTTTTTTTTTTTGTTTGAGCATAGAAAGAATGTGGCTTAACAGTTCTTTGTAGACATGCAGGTTAACTTTTGGTGGGTGACCATGAGGGGGTTTGACCTCAGTCCTCCATATATATCACAAGTTTAATTTCTTTAACACCATTTAAGAAAAATAATCAATTAAGAGATTTTAAAAAAAAATGGAGCATGGAAGACATGATGAAATTCATGAAGATTTTGCTTTGTCCCCTCCCACCATGGGGTCTATGCAAATTGCATGCAGCAATGGATTTGGACATAACATAGACTTCATGCCTCAAGCTTACCTCACAAACAGAAGCACAGAAATAGACATTGTTGATGAAACATCACACTCAAGCATTAATCGTGCCCTTCCAATCTATCTCAAGGTATGAAGAATGTCTGGTCTTAAACTCTAATTAAGCATGTGTTGATGCCAGAAGTTTGTTGACCGATGGAAATGTTGTTTTTGTTTCGGTTGTTTGTTGCAGTTTTCAGATGTGGAGTACAAGGTCAAGGTCAGGCAGGCATTGCCCAAGAACCCGGTTAAGGCAGTGGTGTTAAATGTGGCGTCACAGCTTAGCATTGCGCATGACAATTATAAGCAGATACTGAAAGGCATCACAGGAAGCGTGGGGCCAGGGGAAATTCTTGCACTGATGGGGCCTTCTGGTAGTGGGAAAACATCACTGCTAAGGATATTAGGAGGCAGAATGCATGAAAATGTTAAGGGCACTATAACTTACAATGACATTACATACACTGCTGCCCTTAAAAGGAGGCTAGTAGCTTCTCTTTGTGCTTTTTTTAACGCGTGTTTTTTTAAATGTATGCCAAATGTTATGTCTTTGGATTGCTTGACCTGTAGGGTGGGTTTTGTGACACAAGATGATGTGCTTTTCCCACAGCTGACGGTGGAGGAAACCTTAGTTTTTGCTGCATTGTTGAGATTGCCAAGCGATATGAGTAGGCAAGAAAAATATGAAAGGGTGGAGACGATTATTAAGGAATTAGGACTTGAAAGGTATGTATAGATCAGAGAAACATGCAGTACCAAGGTTAGATTTTTATGAATATTTATTATTTAACCGATGAAAATTTCAAATCAAAGGTGTCGACAAACACGAGTTGGAGGAGGATTCGTCAATGGCATATCTGGCGGAGAAAGGAAAAGAACCAGCATTGGGTATGAAATTCTTGTTGATCCTTCTCTACTGCTGCTTGATGAACCAACTTCTGGGTTAGACTCATCCTCTGCAAATAGACTCCTTCAAATCCTGCAAGGTCTTTCAAAGGTATGAAGTTCTTGATTTAGTTGACCATGTCCATGCCTAATCAGCTGTGTATTAAGAAACCTGTTCACAATTTTTTTTGGTGATCGACAGGGGAGAAGAACAATTATTACAACAATCCACCAGCCCTCAAGTAGGATGTATCACATGTTTGATAAGATTTTATTGATTTCTGAGGGTTCTCCAGTCTATTATGGGAAAGCGAGAGACTCCATGGAATACTTTTCATCTCTAAGATTCATCCCTGAAATAGTGATGAATCCTGCAGAATTCTTGATTGATCTAGCAACTGGACAAGTCAATGACATAAGCATACCTGAAGATATAATCCCTACTAAAGGGACAGCTGAGTCTGAGAGGCTTATAATCAGAGTGAGCCTTTTACTCTGTTTCTAATTGTGCTCAACTTGCTTAACTAATAGAAAATCCTTAAATTCGATGACATACTTTTTCAATATTGTCTATGTATCTATCAGTATTTACAACAGAAGTGCGCAATCCACTTGGAGTCAAAAGAGAGCCATCAAATGCCAAATGCCCCTACACATCTTCAGACAGCCATTCAAGAGAAGAAAGACTGGACAATGTCATGGTTCGATCAATTCTTGATACTGTCCAAGAGAACATTCAAGGAAAGACGCAGAGATTATTTTGACAAGATACGTCTGTTTCAGGCAATCGGAGTTGCGATCCTCCTAGGACTGCTTTGGTGGAAATCTGTTACAGCAACTGAGGCGCAGCTTCGAGATCAGGAAATCACAAAAAGTCCCACTCTTTCTTTAATATTTCTGTTCATCATACTAGTTCTATTTTTAAAAGCCACGACTTTTTCCTTGAATTGCAGATTGGTTTAATATTCTACATTTGTATCTTCTGGACGTCTTCATCTATCTTCGGAGCAGTATACGTTTTCCCATTCGAGAAGATATATCTGGTGAAGGAAAGGAAAGCAGACATGTACAGATTAAGTGTATACTATGTCTGCAGTACTTTGTGTGACATGGTTGCTCATGTTACATACCCTACATTATTCATGTCTGTCATTTATTTCATGGTCGGCTTCAAAAGAACAGCCCAATGTTTCTTCTTAATGTTATCGTCAATCCTCTTGATTGCAATAACCAGTCAAGTAAGATGCTACTACCTACCTCCAGAATTTTGACAGTGGATATCATTTTACTGTGTGCTAAAGTTTGCCAGATAGGTAGTTATATGTGAAATATAATGTCCTTGGTTAATGGATATTCATTTCAAATCGGAGTAATTATTTAATCTATGCCTCTTCCTCAAGAAACACACCTAAGTGCTTCAATAAAAGGACAAACGCAAGGGAATATCTTTAAGGGAAACAAGTCTAATATGGTTTTATGTTTTTTGAGCGGAGGGTCTTTTAGAAACAGTGTATGTCCCCTGCTTTTACACGTAGGGGTAAGTAAGGTCTATGTACATCCACCATCTCCAAACCCCACTTGAGGGACCTCGCTAGGTCATCATCATTATTGTTGAAATGATTTTTCATGTGCAAATCACTTTTCTATGAAATAGGGGGCAGGAGAGTTGTTTGGAGCTGCAGTGATGAGCATTAGAAGGGCAGGGATGATAGCTTCTTTGATATTGTTGTTGTTTCTACTCACTGGTGGCTATTATGTTCAGGTATTCAATATGGAAATCTGGTTTTCCAGTACCATTATTATGATAATTATGATTATGATTATTATTATTATCATTATTTGTTTGGCATAATGCTTTTAAAGTATGAACTTCTTTTTTTCTGTATACTTGCAGCACATACCAAAATTCATGAAGTGGCTGAAGTATGTGTCATTTATGTACTATGGGTTTCGGCTTCTGCTGAAGGTGCAATATGAAGGAAAAGAGTTATATGAGTGTGGAAGTGAAGGGGGGTGTAAGACTCTACAAAGTTCGCCTTCTTTTGACACGGTGAATCTTAACGGCGGCCTGAAGGAAGTCTGGGTTCTACTCGCCATGGCCCTGGCTTATAGATTATGTGCATACTTTTGCCTTTGCCGCAATGTTAATATATGCAATGCTTGAGACTTCACTTTGACAAGAAAAAAAAGGATAGGAATAGAAAGAAATTCCTTGAAGGAGACATACCAAATAAAGTTAAATATATAGTAATATTCTTTTTGTCCCAAAATAAACATTGGATGAGTAATGTCACAATCCATGGAGTTTAGGAATGGAAGGTAGGGTGGTGAAAGTGGATATCACACTACATCCACACGATACTTGGGACGAGTATTGTTACAAAGAAAATATACTACTAATGGGGCTGGTATGATTTTGAACTTTCAATCGCCCAATCTCTAGTGTCACCCGACCAACCCATTGCCCACCCGTCAAACTCCCAATAATAGATATGCTACTCTCTTCGTTCTGAAATAAACTTTGGTATCTGATTTCACAAAATGTAAGAAAAAGGATGAAAAGTTAAAAAAAACAAGTACAAGATATTCAACTAGAGGATAGAGCAAGATTTTGAATCACATTTATTCATAAATAAGAAAAATGAAAAGTATTAAGTTTAAGGTCGGGCTTGGAATGGATTGTCAGTTTTAGTTTTCAGTCCGCAATTGCTTTGAATGGTTTATCACATAAGGTTAGCTCGCCTCGAGGCATTTTTTTCCGGGCAAACTCCCTGAGAAGCCCTTTGATGTGTGTTTCCACCTTGCCATTTTGAACATACTCCCTATGTCCTAAATCTTCTCATTTACTTTTTCATGTAGTTTAAGAAAAATGAAATTGTTTGGTTGACATTTATGGAGAGAGAGATAAACAATCAATTTGGACCACTTACTCCATTCATTTTAAGGAACGAATTTTTTTTTTGAACAATCCAAAGAAGAAAGTGGGAAGATTAATTTGGGTGGGAGGGGGTAGATTACAACAAAAAGGGTTGTTTGGGGGGGGGGGGGTTGAGTGGGGGTCAAGATATATGCAACATTACATACGTGAAAAAGACACCGAGTAAGAAGCAAATGAATTTTAACGTGCCATGATAACGTAGTTTGTACCCAATAATATTTGCCAATAATGACTCATTTAGCCAATGGAAGTTCATAATTGGTGTTGAATAATTGTTTTAAACCATTTAACACTAAATATTTGTCAAGGGTTAGCACTAGTTTTTATATATAAATAAAAGAACTCTCTTTGTTTTTCTTAAATAACAGTTCACTTTCTATATTCATTAAGAATCAAATGAATATGGACACAATGTATGTAACTATTCATTCGATTTTATATGTGTCTAAAAAGTCATACTTCGTAATAGAGTGTTATTTGAGAGCGGAGGGAGTGGTACCTTGCAGCGACTGCATAATTTAACACCATAGAAGGGGGACTTGTTTATGATGATCTCCTTCCACAAATCCTCCGCATATTTTTCGCACCCATCAACAAGTATACTGTGGACATGCAAAAAATCAAAACTTCAAATTAGGTCCAATTCAATGAGGGTGCTACACTATAATTTAAACCCTACCCGAACCCGCATCATACCCAATGACTATCCATTCAAATCCATCCCATTAGGATTGAGATGGGTAGGGTACCCTCAATAAAGCATCCGGTTGCCACCAGAAAGTAATTTATAAAAAAAAGAACAGAAAGCACAAACTTGGGTCTAAAACGATTCACCAGAATTGGGTCCTTGAGAAGGGCATTTAACGCATCTAATGACCCCTGCAACATGAAGCATTCTATTTCACACTTATACTCCCTCCATATTCACTTATCAAAAAAGTCATAATTCAGTTAAATGTAAATGGCGGGAGTAGTGAAATACTCCCATATTAGTTTTGACAAACCTGAGATAGCACTAGAAATGGATACCCATCACAAAATTTAACTTTGTATCCACTGGCGTAATTGGCATCCACAGGCCTTGTTTCTGATGCTGTGAAAAGCAAGGAAATATATGATCAAACACATTTATGGAACTCATCAATTTTAGACACATCTTAACTCAGCAGAACAATATCAGCCAAACTTTACCTCACCAGTTCAAGGACTTTTACCCGGTGTGCGATATTTTAAGCACTAACCTTCATTAAAGCGCACGAGCCGAGCGGGTTTTCCAAGATAGTTGGAGAACCACTGTGCTGCTTCATCTCCCTCATCAAATGCAGAGCCACACCATTCCCACACTGAAACCCCAACCGTTGTCACAAGAGAAGGCTTGCTTAATGGAACTTGCAGTGCCTCAGCGCCGGGGGCCTTAATTACTGCCCACAGTGAATTCAGTTAGTTACTTTGGGTCTTTGACGTGTAAAAAAATCAGTGGAAATGGTAAAACTAAAAATATATTCTCTCTGTCCCCCAAAACGAAAAATTTGACTCGTCTGATTTTCACACAGCTTAAAAAAAGTGTTGAAAAGTGTGTAGTTAGAATTTGTTTATTACTAAAAAAGGAAATAAAAGAGAGCAGTACTCTATATTTCTATGGCACATAAAAAAAAGAAAGTGGGTAAACCTTTTGGGATGGAGGAAGTATATATTAATACATCCGTCCCACAAAAGTTTTCCCGCTTTCCTTTTCTTATCCGTTCCAAAATCATTTTCTCACTTTTTCTTTTTTTTCTTTTTAGAAATAAATAAGTGGTCCAAAATACTTGTATATCTTCTAAAGAAATCCTAACTACTCACTTTTCGCGATTCAATATTTTTCAACATATTACTTAATCTTTGTGAAGTTTTTTTTTTTTTTTTGCACAAAAACACAACTTTATTATTCCAACCAAAGTCAGTTATACATCCAGATGACTACATCTCATCTCAAAATTCTACACAACCTTCTTATAACTAAGATAATTTTTCATATAAGAGCATATATAATTAATGGCCACATCCAAGTCAAACTCTCCTTGATTCATCTTCTTGTTCCTTGCTCTCCAAATGCCATATGCTGTAGCTGCCCATATTGCCATGAACACTGCCCTTCTCTTTCCTTTTATCCTCTGCATGCCTGCCTCCAGTTCATCCAGGTTCAGGTGCTCAATTTGAAAATTGAACCTAGTGAAACAGCCCTTGTACATTGCTTGCGCAAATCCACATTCCCAGAATAAATGTTTATCAGTTTCCTCCTCAGAGTCACATAGGACACATCTAGTATTTATTGTCATAAATCTGCTTAATCTTTCTCTAGTTTGTAATCTTCCTCTCATTAGTAGCCATATTATATGTTGAAACTTGGGAGGGGAGAACTTGTTCCAAACCAGGCCAATCCATTTTGGGTGTTCTAGTTCTCCTTGCAGCCAATCATACCCTTCTTTAATATTATATCTTTGGGTAGGAGGCATGTCTCTGAACTTTCCTCTAATATGAATCATCTCCCTCCAATAATGACAAGCATCTAAGCTAGGAGTAAAGCTCCAGAAATCAGCTCCCTTAATATACCTGCTATGAATCCACTTCACCCATAATACGTCTTTTTTCTCAGCTATGTCCCAGTTCAGTCTCATGATGGCTGCTTTGTTCCAGTTTGATATATTTTTAATGCCCAGGCCTCCATGCTTCTTCTTTTGGCATACTTCTTCCCATCTAACCAGTGGCATCTTTTTGTATTCGTGTGTACTCCCCCAAAGGAAGTTTCTGCAAATTGCGGTGACTCTCCTTATAACTTGTTGAGGTAGAATAAAAATTCTGGACCAGAAGGATATCACTCCCATCAGTACTGAGTTTATGATTCTGACCCGAGCACTATACGAGAAGTGTCTGGAGCTCCAAGCAATCTTTGTGAAGTTTCATGAAGTCAAAGTGAGTAAAGTAAATTAATTTGGGATATATAAAGTACTTACCAAGATATGAGTGCTCATTTGGTTCCCAGCCCTGAGAGAGTGCCTCGTTTGGCAGTTCAGTTTCAACTAGCGCAAGCTTTGGATCAACTCTTTGGGTGATTGCCCGACCTTTGGAATTCACAACCATCCATTGTCGGTCCCATCGAAATCCTGCTCAAAATAATAATAATAATAATAATAATAATAATAATAATAATAATAGGCAGATTCAATCATAATGAAAAATTCTTCTTCAATCACAATGAATCCGACCAATATCTTTAGGCAGATTCATCACATAATGAATGACATAACTCCGGGAAAAGTTCCCAGCTTTGGCCTTTCTACAACCAAAGGGTGTGGAAGTTTCTCCGCCCACAGGCAGATGCATATAGACAGGAAGATGGAGAAACAAGAAAAGACAAAAACTTGAAAAGAAAAACAAGAAAGAAAGGAAGGGAAGAAGGGAGGGTTACCAGTGGAGGAGAGGGGTGCCTGAGAAAGGGAGATTCCACGGCACGATTTGATTGGGTATATGAAGATTGAACTCACTCTTGCTGCAACTCCGTCACTCATCATCTCTCTCTTTCATACACCACAGTCCACAATCAAGAACAGGAAGATAACTGTCTACTACTGTACTACTACTACCCCTCCCATGGATGCCCCATTATGCCACTGGTGGAGTGGAGTTGTTGAAAAAAAGACAATTTGCAGTAGTTTGCACACAATTGTTTTTCCTAATTTTGGCACAACCCATTCCAAAATCCAAAGTGACTATTTTAGGCTTTTATGAACATTAAGGACATGTTTGAGAATAACGTTAGAAATTAGCGTTAGCGTTTTGGATAAAAATTTAATAGTGTAAATTACTTTGAAAATATTAACGCTAAATGATACATGTAGATAGTCTTTTAACGCTAACGCTAATCTCTAACGATTTTTTCAAACTTGCCCTAAATCTACCCCACATAGTTTGTATATGTGATTTTTATTAGTTTAAAATTTGATACATGCCAAGATTGATTCAATTAAAGATACTTGTGTCACATTTTCATTTTACACCATATCTTTTCAAATGTTAATAAATCCAAAAAAATCATGTGTATACCACATTTATATACGTTGCACAATCTAAGTTTATTGTTTATTTTGGACTTCGGGGCTATAACAAGACATATATCCTCATGTTTTTTTCCCTCATTAGGCGTGTGCTTCATATTTTTCTGCACTATTCCATTCATTTCAGAATAAAAAAATCATTTTGATTAATATACGGAGTAATGTTTTAAAAAAGTGTTGAAAAATTAAAAAATACAATTAATTAGTATGTATTTACTTAATAGGAGAGAAATGTTATCGTGTGCTTCATATTTTTCTGTACTATTCCATTCATTTCAGAATAAAAAAAATCATTTTGATTTTTATACGGAGTAATGTTTAAAAAAAGTGTTGAAAAATTAAAAACTATAATTAACTAGTATGTATTTGCTTAATAGGAGAGAAATTTTATTAGTCACATATTCTTTATTTTAAAAATGAAATAATTTTTTTTGATAGGCGAAAAATAAAGTAAGTACTTGTGAAATCTAAACATGCAGAAGACTTTTAAGCCGGAGAAGTGAGTTGTATTCATTGTAGTTAGCCAGAGAGGAATCACTCCATCCTAATTCTCATTTTCATTCCTTTAATACTCAGTTTTCATTCCTTTAATACTCAGTTTTCAAAAACTTCCTTTTAGCTAAGCTTATCAAGATTGTTAAGTTACGCCACCCGGTTCAAATCATATTCGTACTCAATGTTAATAGCATGACCCAAGATACCTACGGTGCTCCAGTCCATTAGAAAAATGGTGATTCTTATTTCCCTATACCCCTACAGCCAACGGAGGGTAGGGAAACGGGGTGCAGAAAAACAGAGGGTAAGAACTATCAATTTTTGAACAAAACACTGTATTTAATATTTGAAGATTTGAAATTTTAAATAATTTTTTTCACATCAAACATTTTTTTTAAATTTGATATTTCCCATATGCAAACTCATATGTTACTCTTCACCAAACACATCCTTAAACATAATTACTCAAAATATTAAATACGGAGTACTTTTTTTGTGCTATTGAATCAATTATAACATAGTTTCTATCCATAATTTTCTCAACTTAATAACGTACAAAGAGTCAATATATTCACCTCGTCTAGGACTCAAAAATTGAATGAACTTTTGGAAATTTCTTAGGGAACATATTTCCTACCACTGAGACCAAGAAAAAAACTCACTCTGAGTATTAAGAGTGTTTGGAGTTGCGTTAAAAAAATTTTTACAAGCTTTTGCTTCATTAAAATATTGTTTGTCATGCTAACTAATCTTTTCCTGTTTATAGATTATGACTTTTACAGTCTAAAATTGGTTCCAGAAGTTTTTTTGAACAAAGTTCAAAATATGTAGCTGCTTTCCACTCCCACTTAAAACTTTAGCTTCTCCAATAATCTGCCACAATCCCAAACACTGCACCCTCTAAATATTAAACCTAAACATAATTACTACCACATCTCTAAAGTAAGAACAAGGAACAAATGCCAAGCAGTGGCATCCACACACAGAAACAACTGCCCACCTATTCATAGATGATTTCTGCAGTTGGTGAAGGACGGGGCAAACGGATTAGTTTTTTAAGTATCAGGAGTTGTTTTTCGGCACACACTTTGGCATTGGCTCGAATGACCATCTTCTCCAACCTCGGAGATTTGATCAGAAGAAGTTTTGCAAGTCTCACTTCGTTCCTTGCACCAGCAAAACCTTTCATCTCCACCACCCTGAGCTGGTCCAGTTTTACATCTGAGTATTCCTCCACATCCAGCGAATGGAGATGAAGTTTCTCAGAGATATTGCCCGCACCAGCAATGTGCTATAAAAGCAAAAGAGAACAAAAAAGAGTCTGAAGTTCAGAAAGAAGCAATTGAATGAATCAAGACAATGACATGGGGGGAATGATTTATAACTCACTGAAATTTTGATCTCTTTCAAGTTTGGCGAGATCCTAAGCAGGAAAACTACAAATGGCATCCCCACCAAATCGTCTAGAAACAATGCCATTCTAACAGAGCTGAGGTGGGCTGCTCTCAAACTAGCACTTGTTGGGATTCCACCTGCGGCTATACCCTTGAAACATTACATCCAAAACGCAGATTGATTACTACCCACTGGATATCTCATGTAATGACTTTAACATAGTAAAGAATATATAAAGACTGAATTTTCAGACCTTGGTGAAGTTAGACTCTATACGTAGAAGCCTAAGTGCAGGCAGAGAACTGAAAAGCTCAACAAGTTTGAAGTCTCCTTGCATTGAATGTTCTTCATATTTCTCGCGATCCAGAAACGATACTTGCTCAAGGAGTGGGGTGTTCTTGAAACAAACAGATTTTATTCTGCTTAGTATATGAAAGTGTTTGAGTTTAGGAGCATGAATGTCGAGTACTGATTCGTGTGCGGGAAACACTTTCAGCTTCAATAATTCGAGTAGGGGGCAAGAGGCTACCAGATTTCCAAGGTGTTCAGGATCAATGGATACATCAATCATTACAATGCTGAGAAGCTGGCTGAATCCAGCGAAGCCAAGAGGGGGATGGGCCAAGCAAGAACAAAGAGATACGTGTTTCAGTTTGTGACAACTGAAGAACGCCGAAGGCAATCTATATAATAAGCTGCCAGACCATATGTGAAGTTTGAGGTCCTCAACGTCGCTTTTTGACAGTGTGAGCAATAAGTAGTCGATTTCTGGGCAACCTTTTAGCCCGGGAAATCCGGGAATGGAGAGGGTGACCTTGGTCATAGGACCTTCATGATTCAACACAACGTGAAAAATGCGCCTGATACATGTTAGAAATGCAGAGTCTTCATTCGCACTTAATTGTGGCCAAAGTGTGCTGTCAAATTTAAGGTGTGGGAGCCTAGTCCATGAATGCCTCCAGTGTTTTGACAGCACACTTGTCCTCACAGCATCTCTAAGAGGCAAACATGCTAAGATGGCTTCCTTTACACTGCCGGGCAGGCTGCTGAAGAAGTCATTTTGACAATCTTTCGTATCCAATAAGCTCGTGCTGTAGTACAATTTTCTATATAATGTTACTGATGGAATTCTTTCATTACATCAAACGGCGACCATTGCAGCCAACAGAGCAGTAACATCACATACAATTGTGGAACATTGAGTAATAGTGGACAATATATGCACGCAAAAGTTTGTCCATGACTCGCACAAAATATACTCCACCCGTCCCGAATTAATCATCTTACTTTCCTTTTTAGGCTGTCACAAAATAAATGTCACACTTCCTTACTTTCCTAATAAAGTAAAGAATATGTGGTCCACTACCATTCTCTTATCTCTGATCAAATTTCAACCACTCACTAGTAACTTTTCAGCACTTTTTAATGAAGTCAAATTGGGACGATTTACTCGGGACGGATGGAGTAAATTTCAACAGGCAACAAAAATATCACCAATGATTGTGGATCATTATGCAAAAATCTATCCATAACTTTCACAACATATATCAATGTGCAACAAGCCTACGATAAAAACTTAATGCAGCAATATTAATCATGGCAATTATGTGGTTCCCAATAACAAAATTCTAAGCTTTAAGAATTTATTCCCACCGAAACAATAAACATAGGAAACAACTTGTGCCCTCGTAGTCTCACTATATGAGTTGAACTAAAAATGTTCGCTTTGAAACAGTTTTATTTGAATACAAAAACATAATACCATGAGAGTATCCCGATTTTTTTTAAAAAGAAATGAATAATCTTGATTGAAAACATTCGAGTCTGTATAGTAGTACTGTGTTTAAGATTCAGAAAACTGAACATATACCTAAAACAAACATCAATGACTTTCATGTCGGGATGATTTCGATTGAGAATACTCCGGTCTCCTTATTTGATTAGTTGAGAGTTGAGACTTGAATCGGCGCAGACCCAGATAGAGCCTAGAAAAAAGAAAAAAGAAATCTCTATGGTATTTGGGATGGATGAGTACTCTAATGGTGGAAAGAAAGGTGGAAATGTGGATTAATAACATACCCATTGTCAAAATTCAATTGGGAGAAAGATTAAAGCAGAATTAAAACATTAAAAATATATCAAAATAAGACTTTCATGTTTTAATTTTCGAAATAAGACTTACATTACCAAACATGATCATATACATTACCAAAAAAGTTTAGTAATGTACACATGTACACTGCCACATTATCACAGTGCAAAGTCACATTACCACAGTGCAAAGACCTATTTCGGGAAAAAAAATATGAAAGTTCTATTTTGATACTTTTCTTTATGTTTTAGTCTTATTTAGGGTGATTTCTAAATTCATATTTTCTTAGTGGTTGTGTGGCCAGAATTGATGGAGTTTTTAGGGATGATGCTCATTCTTTGATCAATCTGTAACCAAAATCTAATTTACTTTCTCTCATTAATCGTTTACCGAGTCAGAAGAAATCCTCAAGGATCAGGCTCATTATATTGCGTTATAGATTAACCCCAGTTTGGTCTTGGTATCGAGTTAGGTTTAGGGATGAACAGAAAAACTAAACTAGCATGGTACACCAGACCGTAATGGTACCAAACCGTTAATAGTATTTTTAAATAAGTTTGATTTTTTTTATTACGAACCAAAACCAAACTGATATCAAATGGAACGGGATTGCGATACAAATATTTAAAATAAGTTATCACGGATCGAACCGTTCAAAGCCATATATAGAGTATCTCAAAAAATTATTTATCTACTTCACCTTACAGTATATGGAGTACTTGGTATTGTATTATTTATTTTTTAATATTATTTCATTATTATTGTTACTATTATGTTTATTAATACTATTAGCATTATTTTTTTAGAGTTATTAATAGTCTGATATTGTATGAGTTGAAAAAATCTATTTTTTAAACTTGGACTTGTTATCTTTTATTCTTTATGCTTATTATCATTTTAAATTCAAAATCAATACTTCAATTTAACAAAAGTTGTGTTTTATATTTTTATTTCAATATTTTTTTTAGTAATGCATGTTCATTTTTTTTACACAGTTTGAACATGAGTATTGTATTACACCATATCGTTTTAAAACAGAATAATATCGAATAGTTTTGGGTTCATCTCATACCAATACCAAACTTTTTAAATAAGAGCAGTCCGTAATAAATTTCGATACTATCACAGATTGTATTACACCATTTCGTTTTAAAACAGAATGATATTGAATGGTTTTGGGTTCATCTCATACCAATACCAAACTTTTTAAATAAGAGTAGTCCGTAATAAATTTCAATATTTTTGTGCCATATAATTGATAAAAATTTAGTGCAAATACTAAAGAAAAATATCTAAAGTGAATAATATAAAACTCCCAACATTGTAGGAATTTTATATGGAGGAAGGATGCAAAGCATCATTAAAGAATCTGGTGAATGAAGAACGAGATGAACGACTTGATAGAGCATAACGAATCACGTCGAACTCTTTTAGATCAACGTTGTTTCAAGGTATACCAAGATACTTTAATCGGATAAGATGTTAATTCAAAAACAAGCACTCAAAATCGATATCTCAACCATACCCGCATATCTATATTTATCCAAACGAAAAATTAGAAGCAAACACGTATGTTCACGTAAAGAAGCTTTCGCACGAATAGTTGCTTGCAGTTTTGGGCCAATTTTGGACGTATATCTATATGTTCGATTTTTAAATTTTGGACCTCCGTTCACAAAAAATTGAAAGATTTTTATAAAGCAATAATGTCTAAAAAAAATCAAGTTATTGTGACTAAGGGATCTGCCCCTTCAACACCGCCAGGGGCTACCGCCCCTTGAACCCCGCTACTCTTTAGCTGAGTTTATAAGATCTAGAAATGGTGCAACACTATCAAGATTGCTTGTAAATATCTTGATTAGCATTTTGTATAGTTTTTTAATGATACAAATTAATTTTAAAAATGTTAAAACTATAACCTAGTGTAAAAAATATTGTTGGTATTGTTGGTAATGTCGAAACCAATGCCGAAGAGGACATGAGGTGCATACTTGATAACCAAAAATGACACTTAAGATGGACAATCATGTGGTGTCAAAGTAGAATTTTTCTTTAGCATATCTTCCTCTTTCCGTAGCATTTTTGCAAAGATCCAGACATATCACAAGTGACTAACCGGGCCAAATAAACCTACCATGTATCCCACTCAATCGAGATGAGCACGATATGGACACCAGATATTACCTCTAATGAAAAAACAAAAGGTGACATATAGTGCAGGGAGTGAAAAAAAAGTCCACATGATCGCGCACAACCTATTACAAAAAGAAAAGGATGAATCTCATCCCTTAGGTCCTGGCCTGCTGGCCAGACAGTTACCTAAGACGAGTTAAATTTAGATACAAGAAATAAGGCATGAGATATGTCACTAGCACGTGCAAAGGGTCTATGCAATGCTTGCACTATGCCCCAGGCACACCCACCCTAACCAAAGACTCTACAGTCCTAAGATATCTCCAAGAACCTGCATTAGTGGTCTTCAAAAACAATTCAAAATCACAAGGATTCCAATATTTCTTCATTCAGTGGTTATATGTTCGTCACTAGCCATACCAAACCAGACCAAGAACGGAACAAAAAGAACACATTTCCACAAACAGAACCTGGGTTTTCCTTCCATTTCAGTTTACTACTAGTACAGAATGCGATCTTGATAGATCTCGAGCATTTGAATGACCTTTTCTATGAAAAAAATTCTTTTGCAGCCTGTACCTGTGTAAAAAAGAAGTAATTTGCATTTGGTTACAAGTTTGATCAATAAAAATGAGACTACATGCGAGATTTAAGGGACAACTTACCATATCATGGAAAGTAAACACAACTATAGGCGAGAAGGTACCCCAATGTAAAAAGAGACAGTTTGGGTGGACAGTTTTTGGAGAGCTGAACCCGTGTTTTTGCATAATTGCAGTCACAGTGTCCTGTCTTTTTGTTGTTTTATGTTCTTTTATCTTATTCCCTGCCTTGTTTGCCCAAACAGTTTTTTACCCCATTCTTCACACAGCCATTCAGTTTTTTACGTGAGGGTCCTAACTCCTATGATGCTTCGTTCCAACCCGAAATAGTTCCTAACCCTCCGAACTATTGTAGCATAACTATGAAACCCGGGGGACAAGAGGTGGGGTTTGTAGAGGGTAAGAGCCACTTTGGGGTCTTAAAGGACGCCCTCAAATGGTCCAGATCCTTAGCATAACACCGGCATTTGGTGTCAAAACAATCCCACTATCTCTCTTTTAGGACTACCTCTATCCCCTCCTCAGATTCCCAAACCACCACAATATGGCTCCACACATCTTATCCTCCACAAGGGTCCAAATGTAAACTGGTAAAAATGTTAGGGACCTAGCTCGCGCATCGCGACTTGGGGGACCAGTTTCACACGATTGCAACACTTAGGGGGGTTGAAAATTTTAGTTGATCTAAAATCAAAACTACACACCCCTCCTCATAGCATGAGCTACGTTTGCACCTGTCAAGAAACTTATTTCACGTATTTGCATTTTGATAGGTCACATTAGATTAAAAAGTTCCAATGTGACTATGTGACTTACTAAAGAGGAACAGAGAAATAACTTCTGACTGTAAAAATCAAATGTTACCTAATAAAAGTGGGACAGAGGTAATAGATATTTCACCTAGTATTTTCATATACTATATACCTCAGAAGGGCTGACATCGGTCTCTTTAAAGGTCCTACGGTGCTTGGTTCGACCCCAAATTGGTATCTACCCCTGCCCCAGCTCCTTATAGATGACAATCCACTTTCACCCATATAGGGTGGGGCTAGTTGAGCGGCCTAAAAGAGGGTGTTTGTGGGGGGAGGGGGGGAGGAACCACCTCGAGGTAGAATGGAACATTCAAACATAACCGGTGTCGTATTATGACAATTGATACCAGTGTTAGGTGTCAAAAGAACCATGGTAATGAATTTAATTGTTTAGATTGAGAGTTATTGTGTTGGATAATGCTAGAAACCCACCAGGCCACCACTCATGCCCCCACCCATGACAATACAGATGATTTTATACATGCACAAACAGATGATTATCGTATTTGTAGATATAAAATCATCTGTATTGACATCCGTGAGGGCGTGGGTTGAAGCACTGTCGCACAGTCCTCATTGCATTAAGCTAGATTTGAGTTCATTGAACTTAGAGTCGATTAGTAAACACCATGACAAGGGTAATCAGAGTCGATTAGTATCAGAAAATGTTACCCACTACCCTGGACAAGCTTTCTAAACTCTAAAAGAACAAGGAACAAATGCCAAACCACCCAACAATAACTCGAAGAACACATTTAAATGCAAGAAATAGCATCGACACACATAAACAATTGCCTACCTATTCATAGATGATCTTTGCAGTTGGTGAAGGACGGGCCAATTGTATTAGCTCTTTAAGTATCATAAGCTCTTGTTTTTCAGTACACGCCGTGGCTTTGGTTCGAATTACCATCTTCTCTAGCCTTGGTGAATTGATTAGAATAAGTTTTGCAAGTCTCATTTCGTTCCATGCTCCAGTAAAATCTGAAAACTCCACCACACTGAGCTGATCCAGTTTCACATCTGAATACTCTTCAACATCCAGTGGATGGAGATAAAGGTTCTTGCTGATATCACCCACAACAGTAATGTGCTAAAAGCAAGAGAGAAGAAAAGAAAGACTGAATGATTAACTCGCTGAATATATACATACAATAACATGATGAATGATTTACTCACAGAAATTTTGATATTTTTCAAGTTTGGTGAGATCCTAAGCAGGAAAACAACAAATGGCATCCCCACCAAGTCATCTAAACGAAACGATTCCAGTCTAATAGAGCTTAGGTGGACTGCTCTCAAACTAGCTCTTGTTGGGACTTTATCTGCAGCTATACCCTTCAAGAAATACACCCAAAACACAGATTTATGGCTTCCCATTTGGATATCATGTTATGACATTAGCATAATAAAAAATGGAAAGAGTACAAATTTTCATACCTTGGTGAAGTTAGAGTCAAATCGTAGAGCCCTGAGTGCCGGTAGAGAACTGAAAAGCTCAACAAGTTTAAATTTTCCATGTATTGATTGTTCTTCATAAAGTCCCAGATCTAAAAACGATACTTGCTCAAGGAGCGGGGTGTTCTTGAAACAAACAGATCGTATTTTGCCTTCTAAATGGAATTGTTTGAGTTTGGGAGCATGAATGACAAGTGAACTGAATGTGGGAAACACCACTGTTAGCTTCAATATTTCAAGTAGAGGACAAGAGGCTACAAGATTTTGAATGTGTTTGGAATCCCCGTCTACATTGGTCATTACAATTGTGAGAAGATGGCTAAATCCGATGAAGCCAAGAGGAGGACGGGCCCGGCAATTATAAAGGGTAAGGTGCTTCAGTTTATGACATCTGAAGAACGCTGAAGGCAATCTATAAAATCCAGGAGACGAAAAAAGTTCGAGGTCCTCAACATCGCTTTTTGACAGTAAGAGGAATAAGTTGTCAATTTGCGAGTGCCATTTTCCCCCGGGAATCGTAAGTGTGACCTTGGTCATAGGACCTTCATGATTCAGCACAACATGGAATATGCGCATGATAAATGTTAAAGTTAAGGTGTGGGAGTCTAGTCCATGAATACCTCCAATTCTTTGAGAGCACGCTGGTCCTCACAGCATCTCTAAGAGGCAAACATGCTAAGATGGCTTCCTTCACACCGTCAGGTAGGCTGCTGACGATATCATCGTGACAAGCTTTCTTATTCAATACACTCATGCTGCAGTATATATATATATATATATATATATATATATATATATATATATATATATATATATATATAATGTCACAACTGGAATTTTTCCATTACACCAAAGTACCAAACGGTGTCCATAGTGGACCATGCACGTCAACAAAGCAATAACATCACATATAATTATGAAACATTAAGCAATAGTGGATCATGCATGCAAAAACTGGTCCATAAGTTGCACAAAAAATCAATTTCAATGGAAATGACACCAATGATCGTGGAGCGTTATGCAAAAACCTATTCATAACTTTCACAACATATCAATGTGCAACAAGCCTACAGTTAAAAGAAAAACTTGATGCAGCAATAATTATAGCAATTTTGTGGTTCTCAATAACAAAATCTTTTAATTTATTCCCACCAAACCAATAAATGTGGGAATCTTGTGCTCTCAAAGTCTCACTATATAACTTGAACTAAAAAATTTCGCATTTCTCACACCAGCAATCCAACATCTCCGCATAAAACTTTCTTGACCAGACCAAAATATATGACAAAATGTCAATTTATCAATGTACTAACCTCCATTGTTTTTAGTACAATCATTTTGGACATCACATTTGAGTCCATGACTTTGATCATTCATATATTTAATACCCGGTGTTGCTATATCCACCCCCATTTTGGCTATATCCACTCCATTATTGTTAAATTGACCATTTTAACCTCAAAAATACGAAAGAGTGATTTTTGATGCAACGTCATTTTTGGGGGGCAAAATTGTTCATTTAACATAAAAGGAGTTGATATAGCCAAAATGAGGTGGATATAGCAACACCCTTAATTAACCTATCTGTAAATTTTTTAGCTAATTTATACTTTGAAAATATACTTTGAGACAATATTTTTAAAAGCCTCTCAGGACCGCACTATTGGGAATTCTACTTTGTCTGTTATCTTCTATGGTCTAAGACAGTTTTATTTTTATACATTAGTGCGAAGATTAGTACAAACTACAAAGATATGGTCTGGTGAATAATGCATAAGTAGAGAATAAGCAAAAAAAACAGTAATAAAACTAAATTTAAAGAGTTTTCATTTTATAAACTGGCATGCACAGATTTGAAAAAACAAAATTTGAAAGAAAAAAAACATAAAATCGCAAATTGTAACAACCCAAAAAAAAAGCCAAGCAAATACTTTTTTGAATCTTGAGAATAGATTACGGAGGTTGGTGTTTCATGCACATATTTGAAAATGTAAGGGCAATACAAAATCTGTAGAGTTGTACTGTAATTGAGATCCAGAATTTTTGACCATATACCTAAATCAAAATCATTAATGATAAAATCATGCAGCAATTGTCTTTCGTACTTACATGCCTGGAGGGTATCAATTGAGAACAATCCGCATTTGATAACTTGAGACAATCAGCTCAGACCCTAGATGCAGCCTAAAAAAGAAAGTTCACTTTGGTGAGTTAAAAGAAATCTTTTTTAGGTTCGCTTTGGTGAGTCTTAGAGAAATGTAATATATTTCCTTCGTCCTAAAACTATCTTCCCGTTAAAAAAATAAAATGTACTCCGTATGCATTTAAAAATTATATTAAAAGTTCTACAAAACAAGAGGTGACAAGACTATATTATTTTATCAAATAACTAATAAAAATAGATAAAGAAAGTGATTTAAGTTTGACCGTGGAATAGTAACTGGGAAGATAATTTTAGGACGGAGGGAGTATGAGTTATGAAATCTGAAAGAAATGATATAGGTTTTGAAATCTGGGACGAATTTGTTTGAAGAGATTTTAAAATAATGATTTCACCAGTGATAAACTAGGATGACCGGCAACGGGTACGGTTGGCAGTGACGAAAAATGATTAATGGTTGAGAAAAATATCAAACTCCCATATTGATATCTCCCAAATTCGAGAGATATCGAAAATCTCAATTTGAAGGATTTATGATATCTGGATATCGAATTCGATGTCTTTTTAGATCACCAAACACCTAAAAAAATTATGATATCTGGAGATATATCTAAACTCATATCTTGTTTGCTCATCAAACATATCCTTAGATGTCATGGTAAATTTCAACGGTAGTACAGTATTTATGTGCTAGTAAAAATATTCAAATTTTACCAAATACAAAGTATTTCAAGAAAAAGAATTGTCAATCTGAATAATTTTAACAACAAGATTATACTATGTGTAAAACATGAAAAATGTATTAAAATAAGAGTCTCATATTTTTATCATCAAAATATGAGTACAATGTCAATATTATTAATATATAGTATCAAAAAATACATTGAAATGTCACTATACATTATCATAATATCATTGCGCAAACTTTTATTTTATGGATAAGAATATAAAACTCTTATTATAAAAATAAATGGTATGTGTTGCTCTTATTTTGGGCAATTTCTTAAAAAAAAATTGGTCTTTAAGAAATTATACTTTGTACTTCAACAAGTTATATGATACATCTGATTGTACCTTCTTTGATGATGTAAATTAGTCATTCAGACAGAAAATTTTAAACCAAGTTTAAAGTGATGTGCTCGTTAAGACATTAGAAACCACATTTGACTCGAGTTTGACTATGTAGATTGTGTGTAGAAAGAGGCCAAGAACCTGCTAAATATTAGAGGAAAGAGGCTCCCGCTGGTGACCTCAACACGAAATTGCTCAAGTTGGGATTTTGTAAAATCTTTACTTTTTTTGGTTAGATTTTGGACTTAGATTTTAATTTATAGCCAAAGCCTAAAATCCATCAAAATCCATGTTTTATAAAAATCTTTTAAAATCTATTGATTTTTGAATATCATTAAAAATTTTCTTCAATCTCTTGGAATATATCCTATATATCCTATGTGCTTGTCCCCTTTTGATGTTAGTGCTAGGTGGACGTCTCCTTTTTATTCTTTTGGTGCATAGAACCAGGGCCGGTCCAATAGGGATAAACAGTCCGTCCGGACCAGACCCATAATTGTAAGGGGTCCAATTATTTTTTAATACTCCGTATTATACTCCGTATGTATGTACGTAGTATATTAGACGCCCAGCACTCAGCCCAATATGTCAAAAGCCCATCTCATTAGCCCATCACTTCGTACTTCGTAGACAACTAACGCAAACCGCAGAAGCTGGAAGGACGAAGCCTACTGCCGAAACCGAATCGGACCAGTGCCGACTGCTGAGAACGCCGCCGGTAGAGTGACGCCGCCGCCGCTGCCGCCAGACGCCGCTGCACCCTCCAGGTATTCCGTATCCACTATCTTTCCAATTTAGTAATTTTTTCCTAATTTTCTTTCTTTCATTGTTTCATTCTTTGGATTTAAAATCTAGGGTTAATTATTAATTTTTAGTTTGAAATCTTTGCTAATTGCTATGAAATATGAATGAATTAATGGTTCCATACATTCTTTATTTGATTTGGATGAATTGATTTGAATTTATGATATGTATAAAAAAGTGAAAACTGAAAAACCAAAATAAACTGAAAAATTGATAAATTGACATGAATTTAAGATGTATATAAAAAGACTGAAAACTGAAAAAGAAAAAACTGAAAAAATGACGAATTGAATCAAATGATATGAGTTTATGATATATGAATTTATTTGTTTGCTTTTCCATATTTGATTTTACTAAGTAGTAAAATTTATGAATTTGAATTTTATTTCAGAAATAATTCAATAGCTATGGGTACTAAACATCTATCCGGTAGTCAAACACGTAAAAATGGTGACTTCAGACACAGGGACTATGATTCTGGGAATGGTGACAGAAGGGAAAATAGGCACAGAGAGGATCACTATGATGATCATAGGGATTTTGTACGAGACAAACATAGGGCCAGGAAGGAAAGAGACAGGAAGTCCAACTTTGCAGAGGATCGTGAAGATGATAGGAGGTATACCAGCAAGGAAGGGATGCGTGATAGGGGAAAGCATATTGACGAAGAGAGTAAACAAAAAGTTGCAGAAGATACCAATTTGAGTAAGGACAATAAGGTCACAAAACAAGAAGGGAGTGTGCTGCTGAATCAAACCACTGATTTGGGGAGGACTGGAGGAGTGTATATTCCTCCTTTCAAGTTGGCTAGGATGATGAAGGAGGTACAAGACAAAAGCTCAGTCGAATACCAAAGGATGACTTGGGATGCTCTTAGGAAGAGTATTAATGGTTTGGTGAATAAAGTGAATGCAACAAATATAAAGAACATAATTCCAGAATTGTTTTCTGAGAATCTGATTCGCGGAAGGGGTTTGTTCTGTCGGTCTTGTATGAAGTCCCAAATGGCTTCTCCCAGTTTTACTGATGTGTTTGCAGCTTTAGTAGCTGTTGTTAACACTAGATTTCCAGAGGTAGGAAATCTTCTTTTGAGGAGGATTGTGTTACAGCTTCAAAGAGCCTATAAGCGCAATGATAAGGTTTGTATATCTCTCCATCTTGGCCTCAGTCTGTTTTGTTTATGACTTTATGTAGGTAGAATATATTTTTTCAATAAAGTTCTCTCCAAGCTTTTATTTCTACAGGGGTTGTAATTATTGAAACCTAAGCTGAAGTCATGTTTTTCTTTGAAAAATGAAAACGGCATCCCTTTTGTCCCTCTATTATTGATTTGATGTTTTACGTTCATTTTGTACTTCTCTTTCAGCCGAAATTGTTGGCAGCGGTAAAATTCATAGCTCATCTTGTCAACCAGCAGGTAGTTCATGAGCTGATTGCTCTGGAACTGCTTGCTGTTTTGCTTGAAAATCCTTCAGATGATAGCGTTGAAGTTGCGGTCGGTTTTGTTACCGAGTGTGGTTCCATTCTGCAAGATCTCACTCCACGGGGACTGCATGGTATGTGAACTCTTAAAGTTGTATAATTCAATATTTCCATGATCTTTTCTCTAGGTCACAATGTCATGTAGTTTGTCCATTTTACTGCCTTGTTTTCTTTTTGTAACTCTACTTGGATTCCGCACTTGTATTCAGTTATTGAGCATAGGCATTTATTTTGTTGAACTTTATGCAAATCATCATCTTGTTTCTTTGATGATGAAATTAGTGCAGCTTTCTGTGCTCTAATACTTGTTTTATTTTAGATCATTTAGTTTCAGCAGAGGCCTCTGGCCTCTGGAATTCTTCTCCTTAGAGCATACTAATAATGGCCATGATTTGTAAAGGGTGCTATTGTGGAGTGCCCGAACTGTGTAACACAAAAAGGTGAATGTAAAATGATGTGTTTCTTTCTCTTTCAAGGTGACAATTGATTTTTTTTCGGGCAAGAGTTTGATTTCTATTTCTGTTACTGTAATTGATACGTTTACTCTTGCATTAATTTTTATGAGGACACATTTGTAAAATTGCTGGATTTCAGAGTACAACCAATGAACATGATAAAGAAATAACCAGCTTTTGTATTTGCACAGTATTATTGCTATGATAATCACCAACAATCAACTGTTGTTGTCATCCTTATATGAAGGATTCTTAGTTCTTTATCAGTCAAATCGAACTACACAGTCATCTCCTTTCTCGCGCCCTTTTATTCTCTTCATCTTGAAACAGTCAAAGTATAACACTTTGTCCAGCCGAGATATAAGGGATTTGCAATACGTAGCCTGTTTTCCACCTACTTCGACCTGTGTCCCTTCTCACTTTATGTTCACTTTTTTTAGTAGTTAAAGCGTTACAGTCTCTTAGGCAAGGACCTTTGTTTCCATTATCGTTATCTGGGCTAAATTGTTCTATAAATTCTTGAATCTCTTTACCGAACTTGTGAATACTGTCCTGCATGCAAATACGTGTGTGTGTCAGTGTGTGTATGAAGTGGCTTATGTGACATGTTTTTAAATAGGCATCTTTGAGCGGTTTCGTGGGATACTTCATGAAGGAGAGATTGATAAAAGGGTCCAGTTCTTAATTGAAGGTCTCTTTGCATTACGTAAATCAAAGTTTCAGGTATACCAACACTCATTTAAGTTTTCAATTTGAAGTTTTGAATTCATATTGTCTCAGTTATGATACCGGTGGTATAATTTTGTTTTATAAATATGATGTTGAAAGGTAACAGGTGGATGTGTTGTTGAATTTTAGGCCTTAATATAAAGACCCTCTGAAGTTTTGATTATGTTGTTAATGTGGCTCCTATACACAGGGTTATCCTGCTGTTCGTCCAGAGCTGGATTTAGTTGAGCAGGAGGATCAGTTGACCCATGAAATCTCTCTCCAAGATACTATGGAAGATGAAGATGCACTAAATATATTCAAGCCAGACCCCAATTTCTTAGAGAATGAAAAGAGGTATGAAGAACTAAAAAAGAGATTCTTGGGTGATGAATCTGAGGAAGAAGATGATTCTGAAGTTGAGTCTGAGAATGATGATGAAGAGGAAGATGATGAAGATGAGGATGAACGAATGAAAATAACAGATGAGACAGAAACAAACTTAGTGAACCTCCGAAGAACCATCTATCTGACAATTATGTCAAGTGTTGACTTTGAGGAAGCAGGCCATAAACTGTTGAGGATCAAACTTGAGCCTGGTCAAGAGGTTGGCATCATTAATTCTCTACATATATGTTCCGTTTTGTTTATTGAAATAAGAAATGCTATACTATTTGTGCCTAAACGGTACACTGATATGAGGGTGATGGAATTGACTCTCCTAACTTGACCCCTCATTGTTCCACATGAAAAACTTATTAATGGGGCTTCAGAAAAGTATAGAAACTGTATGATATGCAACCTTGTTACTGTCCCTAAAAAGAGTCACCGTTTCATTTCAATGAAAAAGTTTCATGGTTTATTCATATTCTTTCATTTTGAATAATCTCAACCAAAAAAATCCACTGCCTAAACAACAGTATAAAATGAATGTGTTCGAATGAATTAGGACAGAGGGAGTAGATCTCTACAAATTATTGTTTACTTTATCCAAATTTATCATATTAAACTCATTTGTGACA